CAGTCACTAGTAGCTATTTTAGGTACAAAGTGAATATGGGGTCAGTCTCTATATTTGGAGGACAGACTGTTCGGCTCATAATAGGGATTCGAGTCAAGATCATATTTAGCCTTCGTGTGAATTTCATCTAAATGTGTTATATAATCTATGTAAGGAAAAACATTTTCCTTTTGTTGATTTCCTGTTTGTTTATGCCAAACCCAGCTATTTAAGGCAGTAAATTTCACTCTAATAAACGACGCCATGGGGAAATGAAATGAAATTAAATGAGCAAAAAAATTCAAGTCAAATATCATTACCACTGTGCCACACTAAGTCTATTAGCAGCAGCGTTCTTAACAAATAGACGTCACAGAGTCCAATGGAACAAGCCCACACAAGACCAGGGGAATTCAGTGAATCTCAGAGATGGACAGAGGAAATGTGGTGGGATGCATGTTATTGCATGAAAAATATGCATATTGATAACTGAGGGACTGGAGTTGCCATGTTTGAGGTTTTAAGGTAGCTTGGAGGTGATGATGATTCTCACATTGGGCTGGCACAGAGGGGACGGCTCAGATCTCCCCCGACCACCTTTATCACCAGGGCCTCCTTGTCTTTTACTGCTGTGCTGCAAATGATACTATACAGTACCTGTCAATACTTTGGACTCGCCAAGCCGCCTACAAAGAAGAGTGATATAGTTTGGCGTCACATGACCTGGCCACCTGACCTAAACACAGCAGACATGGTTTGGGAGGAGTTTGGCGAGAGAATGAAGGAAAAGCAGCCAATGAGCATGTGTGGGACCTCCTTGCTGGAGAAGCGTACCAGGGGGCCACCACGTGAAACTGGTGTGGAGGAGACTGTGGGGTCAGCCAGTCGCTGGAGCAATTAGGGTTAAGGGCCTCGCTCAAAGGCCCAATGATGACATTATTCTACCAACGACGGGATTTGAACTAGCAACCTTCTGAGTCCCAACCCACAGAGCTGCCCCCTCCGACAAATTTTTTGTTTAATACTATTTTGGTCAGTGCATAATTCCATTGACATAATTTTATAGTTTTTCAATGTTGCTATTTTATAGTCTATAATTATTGTAAAATGTAGATAATAGCACAAATAAACCTTCCTATGGGTAGGTGTGTCCAAACTTTTGACTTGTGCCTTGCTTATTTGTTTAACACCCATTCATGTCCTCCCTACTCAGCTGCCATTGCTCAGCAACTCACAGCAGAGCACAACACATTAAAAAAATAATTACCCACCAAGGGACAGGGCCCAGTCCTTCATGACGGCCTTTTCGCCTTATATACGATGCAGTCTCTGCATATCACAGCAGGTCTGCGTTTGCAATTAGCGATAAGAGTCATTTGCTCCCATTAAAACGAACAAATAGCTGAAAAATGTCTTTCTTTCCCACAGATTGAACTGAGCTATAACTGCTGTCATTAACGTGGATATGCGGAACATTTGCTTCTTTAATCTACAAATGACTGTTTTGCAAATAAAAAAGCAGTCAGTCTACATGTCCTGCATGATGAATAATGACATTTTTGATTCAAGGAAATCACAAAATTACAGGGAATTTCCTGGATGAAACAAACTTGTTTTAACTCCATCAGCAACTTCATTTGAATAATTAAACATAAATGACTTATTTTCTTCGTTTGATCTATCTTTGGTGCACAAGGTAGAGCAGATGGTTCAAGCCCAGGCGTGATGTCTTACAGGTTTACGGCTTTTGTGTTCGACTCATTGCCTAGCCCTGCATTGGACCCGACAATCTGAAACCAGTAGCAGACTTTGCAGAACACATGGTGGGAGAACTGGGGAGCTATTTGAAGCATCTCGTGTATCTTCATCATTATGCAGTGAGCTTCAGACCGTTACGCTGCCTTGGTGTGAGCTGACATTATGGGTAATGTAAGTGTTAGATGTAGTGAGGCCGTCGCCCATAAAAGCTGCTTCCCTCATTAAATCGCCTTACAGATAGGGCGAGCCAAAACAGGCATCTGTGTACAAATGTCAGAAAAAAATGCAAGAGTTTGTTAGCTGTAGCACAACTAAAGCCAAATAAAATACCTTGTGTCTTGCCAAAACTCTAACATATTACAGATTATATATATATGACATATTTAATGAGAAGGGTCCCAGCCAGTATGGCGACTATTCAGATTCCTTACACATAAATCATGCATAATCTTCAGTATAAATAATTGAAACATGAATGAATCTTTGTGATGTTGAACTCTAGTTCTGATTCTAATTCTAAATTCTAAATTCTAATTCTAAACGGAAAAGGGGGAAATGGCCTCACCCACCACTAAGCTGCTCTGGGCCGGATGTGTCCGGACATTCTGCAGACCTGCTCGCCTTGTCCGCTGCTGCAGGACGCAGAACCGTCACCCCCGTTCCTGGATGCCCCCCACAGACATGCCAGCTGCCTGCTTTTTAGGTGAAGAGGGCATCAGACCTAACACAGTCCTAACCGAACCCTCACTGCCTCTCCCTTGTGTTTTTATCCACCAGGATGAATGAACTGTCAATTTATCCTGTCGCTGGGGGGTGAAAATCATCCACTTATATGTAGTAAATATAAAATGGATGAATATATATTATATATCTGTATATATTTGCATATATTCATCTCATGCAGCTCCCAGGGGTGTCGCTAGAGATTTTGGGCCCCCAACCCCAGCCAATCCAATTATGCTTTAAAATTTTGGGGGCCTGAATTTCCCTAAGTTCTCCCACCTTTATAGCACCAGTGTCAGCACCCTCGACTTCACAGATGAGATTTTTTTCCCCCATATTGGAGCATCACTTTATGCTTATAGGTCACTATCTACCCACTCGCTCCTTTTGGACAACACACAGGCCGTTACCTCCTTTGGTACTGAGTACCAGGCGCGGTGTCAGAACTGCATGGTCCGGTGGTGACTGTTGGACTGACAGGAGGGGCTCCCGCCTCTTTTGGCCCAGATCGGAGGCAGTCTCCCAGGGCGTGCTAATGTAACAGCCCAGTCCCCATGTCCCTGGATGAAGTTCCACAAGAGGGACTTCAGTCAACACTATGTGATATATAATTCATCTACAGTGACTTAAATCAGGATGTGTCCTATATACGAATCATTCCAAAGAGTGTGCTTCATTACCCAATATCTATGCACAATATAATCTGACCCTACATGGAGCACATTACCCACAATGCATTCTGTCGCCAAGGAACAACCTTCCATTGTTTCACTACTTCACCTCTTGCCTCATCCTTTTCTGCATCCTTCCCTTGTTCTTCTGTCCCTGGTGGTGTTTGGGATTCAGAATAGTTAGATGATGTAGCCTATTTCCAGTTATGTTTTGGCTCTGAACTCCTCTGCTAATGACACGAGGCATTTTAAGCTATGCAGCTCTCAGCCTAAGGACAATGGGACGGGGTATTCAAACCTCAGAAGGAAAGTAAGATCAAATTGACTGGAAAAGAAGGAGTCTTTGCTTGTGCTTGAAATGCCCTACAGGGAGCTAATAACTTCACTGTTGTATTTGCACACAATGGACATTTAGGCTGGTTTTAAGCTAGTTGAGAGCCAACAGAATAAAGCAAATGTAGAATGTAGCTGATAGCAGCCCAATGGATGGCAGTTTGTCACTTTGTCTCCAGAGCTACAGGATTGTGGCACAGGCACCGCTACAAATTTGGGGCCCCATGACATCATGTCATATTGGGCCCCCAACCCAGACCAATCCACTTATGTCCCAAATTTTTTAGGGCCCCTGACACTCACCCCCCCACCTTTACATCACCCCTGGGTTGTGTGTCCCGCCCCTATCCGTTGAGTTACATGTTCCCCCTGTTTCTCCTTGGTTTGCATCTGGATAATGTTCATCTAATGACACTGTGGTACTTTGTGGCCCCTCAGTGTCCCAGACACATACGCTTGGCTGACCTGGTGTCTCAGAATTACCCGCAGTCTGTGAGTACATGTGTCCTGTGATCAGCTGCAGTCCCACGGGAATCGTCCCCCTTGGCTTTGTGTCATGTGCTCCCTAGGATAGACACCATGACGATGTCCTGGATAATGGCAAGTTACGTGACAGCAATGCCACTCCTTATTGTCACACGGAGCGAGAGCCACAGCAGCTGGTGTTTTGCACATCCTGTGATGTAACTCCCTTTCCTGATGTGTCAAGAACAGATGCGATTTAAAGCACAGGATTACCAGGGGCAGCCTCTAATTAGGGGCTTCGATAAACTTGTTTAATTAAGTTTTCAGTGTTGCTATTTGCCAATAAGTGACTCAAGTGGACCCGGCCGCCCTAGAATAGGGTGAAATTGCTCAGTGAAGCTTGCCCTGGGGTGGCGCAGGGGCCTCTGACCTTGTACGGTATCTGACTTTAGTGCACATGTGGTCCACGTTGCAGAGTACAGAAAGATAAGTGGGATTACTAATTGGTTCCATTGCTCAATTTCGCACTTTTACTCTTTGTTCAGCAGTCTGGATGAAAGAGTTTCCATTCCAACAGAACTGGGGTAAAGAGGTGAATCTGCAGATTAGAGCCGTTATAATGCTTTTAGCTCACTGCTACATTAATTAGCATATGATTGATTAAGTCTGATATCAAATATAATATTTGCCCAAGGATTCGCCACAATGACATACATCTTTAGTAATATGTCTACACATATCACTAGACACCCATCTAGCACAGGACACACTAAAACATTTTATTTATTTCTCTTCTTGTCTTATTTTGCACTTGAATCATTCTCCCTCATAAACATATTGGACACTGCCAAGTCTGATATATTGATCGGATAATCCAGCTCTGCAGGATATGTCTGCGACAGGTGTCAGCATGGAAAAAACTCCTGCATGGCGTCATGTGTTATTTTTAAGCGCAGGAGATAAAACAAGAGCCGAGGACGACTACGAGGGAAAAGAAGCGTGGAGCGAAGCGGAAGTGACGTCACGGGCGGTAATGTAAACTGTCAAGGATCCATGGTAACAGAGCGTGCGGCAGTGCAGCACCCAGCAGCCCGTCGCGCGCTCCAGAGAGCCGAAAGAGCCGCTGGACGCTGCTCGCCTCTTCTGGCCCAAACCGCGATTAAATGTAGCCCGTCCGCAAGCTTTGCGCCGCCCGTGCTTTTCTTCAGGCAGTCGCATACAATGGATGACTTTTTAAAGCTGGCTGGTGGATTCGTGTTTTTTTTTTGTTGTTGTTAATTTCAGTTTGTATTTTAGTTACAGGAATCTGAATGCCAAAAGAATACTTTCGGTGTGTTATGCACGTAGTTAAAGGTACCATTGTGAAAACACAAAAATTACAGCCGCAAGAATAAACATTATGGCTTGCTATTATCGTGCCGTGGGGGTCGAGGACATTAAAGTCTGATCTCTCTGGTCACAGTATAATATAGGTAATATTCGGTCTAATCTAGGTATTTCATTAGGTTTAATTCAGCTTCGCGCAAAAAAATGGCTCATTTACATACTAGCCGGTTTTCTTGATGCGTTTTGCTCTCACGGGCTATTAAGAGAAGAGCATTATTTGCCAAAATCTCTTTGCCGGTTTCTTAGCGGCTTGTACATTTGTGCGATAAAATCATATAGAAAGAACGTTTGAAGGATCGTGAAGATGGCGACAGGAGCGAGTTGGCAGCAGTACTACAGCCCTGCTGGCAGCGCATCCACCGGAGCAGGGAAATACACTACTGGTACATCGACCATGTCCTACCAGTCGGGCATCACCCTGGAATACACCCAAGATTTACACTTGAAAATGAGTAAGAAAATAGCACAGCTCACGAAGGTAAGTCGCGATTGCCCACGCTTGCAGCGCGAAAGCCATGGCTACGTTATGAATGGATCTCCTTGCAGTCAGGCACATCGGTACAGCAGCCGGGATGTAGATGCTGTCGCTCCCGCACATGTCAGTGCAAATGAAGTGCATGACATCGGACGTGGCAGTGCGCTTTTCCCCAAAACCGTACCGGTCCAATGAAAGGAGCCCTTTATACATACAACTCTTAATTCCGCCTCTGTCGTGGACGGAGACCGGCTCTAGGTCATGACTTCAAAACAGTATATGGACCTTCGATTTTTGACTCTCCATACCACTCACCAGAAAGACCTTTTCTATGTCGTTACGTGTCTGCCCCCCACCCCCCTAGATACAAAGATCCAGTTTCTGTTTTAAATTGCCGGTAATTATGATTCGGCACGACGCTTACCTGCTTTTCAACGCAAGTGCAATGCCGTCTTATAGCACTTCTCATGTAGCCTATTTATGTATGAGCTGTGCGGCTGTGTGTAAATATCTAGTTGGGTGTGATGGTATTGTTAGTGCAAATAGAAGATATTCAGTATGACAGCAGTATTCAAATTACCGCCCCCCAACCCCCCCGTCCCCACCACGTTTTGCTCAGTACCTGCAGGAGGACAGGAACACCGATTACACATCTGGTGCTTAAGTATGCTATTGGCCTAGACCGGTACTTCAACAAATGAATAATCTGTTGAAATACAGTATGTTAAATAAATAGTTAGATTCAGCAGAACTGTGAAAACCGAGTTCTGTAAAGATCGGGATCTCTGGTATGTACAGATAATATAATTTAGCAACCTTAAATTTCCTTTAATCATTAATTATCGTATAACGCTCGTGCATTTTATTGGTTCTTCGTTGTCCCTTTTCAGGTTCTTCGTAACTGAATCTGCCAGTGCTCAAAAACATAAGCGTGTCTATGCTTACATTTAACTGGCTTATTTTAAAGATAATTCGTGAAATCTGTTTATTTCGTTTGATGGAATTTGCCTAAATATGCAGCTACACTGGTCTGAAATGTTAAAATGACATGAGATATTTGCATTACGCTTTAGTTTTTATGGATGAACGTTCAGACTGACAGAACACCGCTGGCACAATATGTTTTGCCTTTAGAGTTTTGTTTTATCTAAAATAGTTCAACTTATAAGCTGTTTATGCGTGAACAGCTACCCAATTATTAAAGTGATTGAAGTTCCAAACCTTATCAGTCGCACTTCTGAAATTTGACCTGTAGTAGCCTGTTTGTGTTAATGAATTAAATATGTTAATCACTACCGCCTCTACTATGTATGTGTTAAGTAACCTCCAGAATTCTCTCTTTAGTGCTATGACTCACTCCCTGTTTTCCTATTTATACCAGTTTACTATCTTCTGTTCAGTAATCCTCATGCTGAAATAGCTTAATGTTACCAATTCCGTGCATATTTCTTCGTTTCAAAATGTACGTAACGCCGTGAAATGCAAACTACATGTATTGCCACTAATTATGTAATCAATCAGTTTAGTGTATTGCAATATATATCCTATAAACAATTATTTTAGTTAGTCTTCTGCATATTCCCCTTGAGATGTGTATCTTAAAATAACTTTGAGCTGGGTCATTACCTGCACACATTCTTGTTGGATGTCTTTATGCACAGTCAGGACTTGATTCTCAACCAGGGTTGCAAAGGGGTGGGAAACTTCCAGTAAATTTCCAGAAATGGGAAGTTAAGCTGTGGAATTTTGGAAGTATTGAACCTGTGGAACTCCGCGCGAGCTGTCAGATACGGCAAAGAAAGCAAACTCTATGGACAAATCAACATAGAATATGACTTATAAGCGGTGCGTTTTGATGCAGATGCTTATTTTGGGGTGTTTTTACGCACTCATAATTACTCGCAAGCACTTGGTTACACAATAATATTACTATTAGTGCAGTTAAGATGTTTTTTTAACCACGTTTAAATTCCCTGCTATAGGCTAGCCTGCAATGTTGCATATTTCCAGTTTACTCCCATTAATTCCCATGGAAAGTTTCCAACTCCAAATTCCCAGAATTTTGCAACCCTATTTTCGGCACAGATACGCGATAGGTATTAATCGCTTTAGTACACCTTACGGTACAATACCGCTTTTCGCACCCAACACTCTGTCTTGATAGTCAGATGTAATCCCACTGTGGTGTTAAATAGATGGGACGCCATAGAGATCCAATATCTAATGTGAGAATTGTTTGGACGTCTTGAAATGAATTTCCTTCTTCCCAAACCTTGGTGATCGACTTCATTATTGAGAAGTAATATCGTTACGTTTCAGAGTTCAGACAATACTTCAGACGTTAAATATACTTATTACCTAGATATTACCGTTGCCTTTTCTTCGTTGTATGTGTTTCTATGACCTTTGAATTCACATTTAAGCAATGAGACCTGCTAGGGACAGCTAGGGCACACAGCAGGGGGTTTCTCCTATGTGACAGACGTCTTATTAAACTATAACCACGGAAGCTTTACTAATCCTAAATTCCTGGTTACCGCCGGCGCTGTTCCGGAGGATCCCCGTTGGAGTAATGAACATATTGTATAGTTCTCCCGTGTCCATCCCCGCAACGATTCTTCATTAACGGCCCAAGTAAAGGCTTAATTTACTGCGAATAATCATGTTCATCAGACAGCGTTCACCGATCGTTCGTAGGGAACCCCGTGAGCCATTTCCCTGCACTCGTGGTCCTAACAGCAAAGACGTACTGCGACATCGTCGTGTGTTATGTACTGTGTTCCTGGTACGGTTGCGTTCATGAGTATTTCCAGGGTGTCTTAAATACCTGTGTCCAGTAATTATCTGTGACCTCTTAGAGAAATTACCGAATATAAATTTCATCGTTTTAATTTTCCCCTGGTCTAGATATTGCAATATTAATATCGGCACTCTGTAGAAGAGCACGTGGCTGAAGGAGGGAAAGGTCTTCACACCCTCCCCACGTGACCAGGAGCTGTCCAGTAGGGGGGAGTATCGGGCATCATTTAACCAATTGAAATGCAGTAAAGCCTGCGGGGGGGGGCATCTTGGCAGGCAGTACGCTGCTCCTGTGAGCACGCCGGATGCCAGCGGTGGGCAGTGTGTCCTCTGTTAAGTCTCTGGCTCCCCCAGGATGTGGTCTGGCAGGCTGGTATGGGTGTATCTGAGGACCAGGGTGCATGAGATGGACTTAATGGCTGGAAGAATCGTGTGTGGCATTGGAGAGGTGAAAAACAGTGGAAAGTCAGAAATTGAACAGTGGTCAGGAGGTCTTAATCTGATAGATTGTGATGGGTGATTGCATTTAATAATCGAAGCATGTGCAATTGAACATTAAGTGGAAATAGAAGGACTTGTTTATGACCATTAATCTAATCATCAGGCAGGATAGAGTTATGCTTTTGATTATATTGGGCAAAATTTGTTTTAGGCATTGAATAATTGTTAAATTGAGCTATCAGAGAGAGAGAGAGAGAGACCATGAAAAAAGCTGTAACTATGTCACATTGAAATCTAAACTTCTAATATCACTATCCCTTTATCTTAGGCCAGGGGCCTGTATCGTGAAACAGGATTTCTTGCTTAGCCAGATAACTTGTTGGATTTAAGGTAGCCTGTGCTAAATGTAAGTCCATTTAAACTGGCTTACCTTAAATATGGTAAATTATCCGACTAAGCAAGAAATTCAGCTTTGTGATACAGGCCCTGCAGGATAGGAGAGGCAGATTGTTTTGGCGGTAAGAGGAGGCACAAGGAATATTATAAACAAATAATGTGGGGGTGAAATTTTCTGGAATAGAAAGCCCAGACACCCCAACAACAGGCCGTGCGATAGTGATGACTAGCTAATATATTAGTGTTACGGAGAGCAAGCTGTGATGGTGTGGAGACGCGTCTCGGCTAAAACCAGCGAGATATTTCCTGGCAATTAGGAGAATGTTCTTATGGCTAAATATCAGATATGTGTCAAATATAGCAGCCTAAAAGAAAGACCAATCAGCTTGCACTTTATAATTTATTCATTGGGTTATTTTATCTGAAGCGATGTTTGAGAGCCTTTTATAGGATTGTGTATTCGTCAGGGCAGATTCATCAAAGGCAGCGAATCTCAATCCGCATGCTGATCCACGATCAGATTTCCCAGCCCCAGTCCTAGAATTAACCTATAAAAATGGGCCGTGGGTCTGCAAATGCTTAGCGTAAAAGTAGTGAAATCTCAACCAATCCAAGAAGCCAAACTACAGATGCTTAATTTAAAATTCACTGGCACATCCAATCAGATTTGTGCGATAGGCATTGATTGGAGTAAATAGTAGCGCGCACTGCTTGCTTGATTGTAGCATTACTGTAATTTAAACCTGTGTTTGATTCAGGGTCGCAACTGAGCTGGCATGGTAGAAATTGGGTTGTGGTAGAAAAAAAGGTTGAGAACCACTGATCTAAGGTACGTTTCTCAAGGTTTCAGGTGCCTCTTACTTTAACCTGCTCATAACAAAAAGGTTGCAGGTTCAAGAATTGGGTCATTGAAATAGTTTTTGCTGAGAAGTATAAAAAATGTTAGATGACTGTTATTTTATATCAAAAGGTTCTTAATCCAGTAGATAGCAATCTGAAGTTCTGCATGGTGGCTTCACAGGTCCAGGCCTGGGGGTTTAAATCCCCCATCCATTCAGAGTTTGCATGTTTTGTTCGTGTTGTACAGGTTTCCTTCAGATTATCCCGATTTCCTCTCATGGTCCAAAGATATAGTTTGCTGAATTGGCTTTTTAAAATGTCCCATACTGTGTGTGTGTGTGTGTGTGTGTGTGTGTGTGTGGGTGTGTGTGTGTGTGCAGGCGTACTTGCAGAGAGCTTGCCCAGTGCTGCATGAGAGGTTAGTAAATAGATGCATGGATTTACTGGCAATCATACATGGAACTGCGTCGTATCTATTGTGTGAAACAGAGCCCATTAGGCTGGAAATATTTAAAAGCCATTTAGTG